CCTTGGGATTCCGAGCCCGTCTCCAGCCCCGCAACCCGCCTCCCTCCCCGCCACGACCGACCCCCTGCCCTCCCCTCCCCTCTCCTCCTTTTCCCTGCATTCCCACGCAGGGCTGTGCTGAGCCCTGCCAGCACTCAGGGACAGCAGCTCGGGGACAATGCGGTGGCACCGCAGCCAGGAAAATGTGGCTAAAGGCAGATTTGCTCGGAGAGAGGGGAGACAAAGGCAGGAAGCCGCTCATTGCACGGAGGGAGGCGGGTTGCGGGGCTGGAGACGGGCTCGGAATCCCAAGGAGGTGCTGGGATGGATTGGGGCTTTGGGGACATCCTGAGGGCTGCCAGCTGTGGTTTGGGGCTGTTTGGGCACGGGGTGCCATACCCAAAGGGTGCATCCCAAGGTGCAGCCCCATTCTGCACGGTTTGGAATGTGAATGCCTTGGAATAGGATCCCAAAGCTGCAGGAGAGGGTCTAGGTGGGTAAAAACAGCCAGCATTTCTCACTGCAGTGCAATGCACACCCCCTAGGATGGCAGGGCACGGCCACACCAACGTGCTGATTTTCTCCTGCTCCGCTCCCAAAAGCTGCAAGCACAAATCTTGAGCGCAAAGCCATCCAGGCAGCTCTGCTCAGCACCTGGAACCCCTCTGGTGGGGTGTTTGCAGGACCAAATAAGGGCTGGGGATAACCTTGTGGTGCTCATCCGGCAGCTGCAGCCTCAGTGTTCAGAGAGAGGAAGGAAGGAAGGAAGGAAGGAGAAAGAAGGAGAGCCCAGAAGGTGGAAGTAATAAAAAATAAAAAGCTTTTATCTATTTTTATGTCTTAAAATACATTTTAAAACCCGGTGTGGTCACTGTGTGTTCCCAGTTAACCTGTCCCTCAGTGCCCAGGGGTGAGGTGGAGCACGTGGGCTTCATCCTGCATAGAGGAACAGCTGGAGGTGTGGGTGGAAACCTCCAGCATGCAGACAACCAGGAGGGGCTGTGAGTGGGGCAGGGCTGTCCTGGTACTGCTGGGGGTCCCAGTGATGCTGGGGATTATAGAATCACAGCATCACAGCATGGCCTGGGTTGCAAAGGAGCACAGTGCTCATCCAATTCCAACCCCCTGCTGTGTGCAGGTCGCCAACCAGCAGCCCAGGCTGCCCAGAGCCACATCCAGCCTGGCCTTGAATGCCTGCAGGGATGGGGCATCCACAGCCTCCTTGGGCAACCTGTGCCAGTGCTGGTAGGGGTGCTTGCTGCTGGTGGGGGCCCTGGTGATGCTGGGGTCCTTGTTGGTGTTGGTAGGAATCTTTGGTGGTGCTGAGGGTCCTGGCAGCACAGGAGCAACGAAGCTGAGTTATGAGATGAGCGCAATTCTAAGCAGCAAGACCCGAATCAGCGAGAGATGCTGGGCATCTCGATGGGTGGAGGCATGGCTGGGGCAAAGCAGAACTCGCAGCTCATGGCGTGGCCTGGAGGAAAGATGCTCTGAGAGCTCTTCCACCTGGATCCTGTACAATCATCCCAATTCATCCCATACAAGTGGCATCGCTGTGGCTGCAGGGACAGAGCTGTGATTCCCAGCAGAGCTGCGCGTTTCCTGCCGCTCCCTCCTCTCCACACAACCCCATGGCCTCAACTTACTGGGATTACTGGGATTTCCTGCCCCACAGCCCCCAGCCCGGCCTTCCCCAGCCCTTCCCCTTCCTCTTCCTCAGTCCCCAGGCAGTGCTGGTCGGGCAGAGGGAGGTTGGGTGGATGTGATGGGACCCAGCCCCTTCCTGCAGAGCGTCCTCCAGCCTCGGCACATCTGGTTCTGCACAAGGCAGCGGCTGCTTGGTTCTTTTTCATGCCCAGGCTATGGGAAGTGTTAACCCCCCACCAAGGGATCAGTCACCACGAGTATCTGCTTCCCCACAATGTGACATGGGTGTGAGCAGATCATCTCCATCCCTGTCCATAGCTTATCTCCATCCTCATCCTCAATCCTATTCCCTCATATCCCACCCTCAACTCCACCTCTTCCTCATCTTCATCCCCATCCCTCTCTCTGTCTCTATCTCTTATCCTGTTCCCAACTCTATCCCATTCCCATTCCCATCCTCATCCCCACCTTATCCTTATCCTTATCCTTATCCTTATCCTTATCCTTATCCCCATCCCCATCCCTCTTATCCCATCCCCAACTCCAGCCCACC